CGTGAATAGTCAGTTTTCCCAGTACTATTTGTTTAAGAGACTGTCCTTTCCCTGTTGAGTGGTCCTGGCACCCTTGTCAAAGACCATTTGACTATACATAGAGTATACGCAAAGGCAGTTGTGTCTGTGGTATTTTGGAACTTATTTTCCCACTATTTATATATTCCTAAGATTTAGCCATATGGTGTCACTCTAGTAAGTGACCACATTTGGATAACCACAATCTAGGACATTGTAACATCCTGGAACCTCTCCTTGTAGACCCTCCCAATCACTGCCTCCTTCCTCATTCCCAGAGGTACTAGCTCTCTTGACTTTAACACTATAGATTCATTTTGCCCTTTTCTTTTCTTTTCCTTTCTTTTTTTTTTTTTTGGCAGCACCGTGTGGCACGCGGGATCTTAGTTCCAACCAGGGATTGAACCTGTGCCCACTGCATTGGGAGCTCGGAGTCTTAACCACTGGACCACCAGGGAAATCCCTCTTTTGTCTATTTTTGAACTTTTTACAAATGAGTGTCACAGTATATATTGTTTTGTGTCTGGCATCTTTGGTTCAATATATTATATTCTTTTGTGCATATTGCAGTGCCTCATTCTTTTTCATAGCTGATTAGGATTCTATTGTATGATTATACCTCCGTTTATTCATATTCTTATGGATATTGGGTTGTTTCAGGTTTAGGGTCATAATGAATAATGATGCTGTGATCATTTGTGTGTGTGTATGTGTGTATAAGTTCATATATGTATACACATTTCTCTAGTATATACTTAGGGAATTGATTTTATTTTTTTAGAATGAAATTTTTATTGAGATAATGAGATTCATATGCAGTTATAAAAGAAATAATAGAGAGATCCTTTGTACTTTTTACTCATTTCCTTGTACTGGTAAAATTTTGCACAACTGTAGTTGTGCAAAACAACTCAAGATATTGATATTGATACAATCCACAGATATTATTCTGATTTCTCCAGTTTTGATTATAGTACTCAACATGCAAATTACATTTAACTGTTGGTATAGAATGGCACACTGCCACTTCCCTAGGACATTTAATTCAGACAGAATTATCCCTGGGCAACCATTATCTTTGTATCTGCCAGCAATTGCCCTATCTTGTAAACTCTCATATCCAGAATAACTGGGTCTTTAGTTCAACTGAGTGGTTACATACAGTACAGAACCATTGATTTTTTTTTTCCCCCCAGTGGATTTGATATATTCTGAGATCCAGATCAAGAATCTCCCATATTTAACCTATCTTTGGTCATCCTGAAGGCACTTGAGAATCCAGCAATATATCAGGGTCATCAGGTTTCCCTGGACAGTATTAAGAGATATAGAAGGGTTGCTAAGTCTGTCGTGGTTCTGAGTATTCACTCTGAAAAAGAGTTTATTTGAATAAAGTTTTGACACATTTGCTCTTTATGTCATTCTGTAGGCTCGAAATGAACAATACAGAGACTTGTTTTGCTCATACATAGTTTCTAAATTTTCAGTAATGAAAATTATTAGTTTTTTAAAGGAAGTTATAAAAATACTAGCACATAAGTTAAGTATAAAAATACAGGGTATTCGGATCCCAAGAAAACGGGAGTTTACTGTGGTCTAGAAGTCAGGCTGATTGCACATGATAATTAGTTATAATTGGCAATGTTTCTTCCAAAGATTGAATTTTTGCTAAGTTTTTATATATTATCACTAGCTTGAGTTTCCCCCCTTCTCTGCCTTTCATTTCTACAAGCACCAGAAGGAAATTTAAAAACATTTAAAAAATAGCTCTTTCCTTATAAGTCACCCAGCACACAGGCCTCGTTTCTTCTAGTTTCAAACATAAAAAAGAACCTGGGTCAGACAAGAATGATCCTTGTTGCATGCCCACCAGTTCATGCATTTTCCTTTTTATTCTGTGAGTCTCCAGTGCAAACAAGTTAAAAGGTTAAGGACTACTCCAAGTTCCCAACAGCTAATCCCTGGTTGACCTTCAAAAAGAGGTCTGTAGGGCTTCCCTGGTGGTGCGGTGGTTGAGAGTCCGCCTGCCGATGCAGGGGACGCGGGTTCATGCCCCGGTCCGGGAAGATCCCACATGCCGCGGAGCGGCTGGGCCCGTGAGCCATGGCCGCTGAGCCTGCGCGTCTGGAGCCTGTGCTCTGCAACGGGAGAGGCCACAACAGTGAGAGGCCCGCGCACCGCACAAAAAAAAAAAAAAAAAAAAAAAAAAAGAGGTCTGTAATTCATTTTTGAATATGCCTTCCAAGTGGAGGCGTTTGGCCACGTGCTCCTCTTTGACATCACCTGGTGCCCTCTGGTGATCTCTTAGCTCCAAAACTTTTCACTTTGTCTTGAAAGCTTTCTTGGTATCTGTGGTGGGCATGGCCGTGGCTGCTGCAGTCATCTGTGTCTCCATCATTCCTGATTGGTCATTGGCATTATCTTGGCCCACATTTGGAGAGTGAATGCTCTGAAGCCCAAATACACAGCAGAAGTACCAGGATGCAGCTATTAATAATGAGTAGTTCAATTCCCTTCTGTAGCGTAAGCTTACATAGGGTCATTGGAAATAGCACTTTGTGATAAAGCCTAAGAATGTCATGTTGATCCATCCACCAATAAGAATCACAGCGAGGACATTTGTGACATTCTCTTTCATCACATCTGTGACCATCGTGGGATCAGTTGTAGGAGAAGGTGGTATTATTTTCCTTTTTTTTTTTTTTTTTTTTTTGAAAACTCCATCCTCTGGGTTGTTGAAGTAATATTTTTATGTCAAGGACCGTTTGGGAATACAATTTCCATTTTCCCTGAGGACGGTGCTTTGAATTAGGACTTAACTAATTTCAGATATTTGCTCCTGGTTGAGCTTCTTGTCACTCTGCAGTAGGATAGACACCTAGTGGTGGATCACACCCCCAGGTGATGATAAAGATGGGCTGGACTACCCAGAGGCTCATGTTGGAGTTGAGTAGCCCACTGAGAGCCAGTCCGACCAGGGTCATTGGGGCTCCTCTTGGGATTCTCCTCAGGGACTTCTCCTGTCCTGCAGCCTGGGCATTATCTTGGCTCAGGGCTGGCCTGGGCTCTGCTGTGGCCTCAGGCCTAGTGCATTGCCTCTGGCTGGGCTGCTGTTTGATTTTAAATAATGTCTGAAGTTTATAGAGTTCTAAAACAGTAACGAAGGGTTCCCTGAAATATTTTTGCTTGCTCTAAACCATCTGTATTAAGACCACATTTTGGAGTGAGAGTTATTTTACTAAACCCTTTTTTTTGACCACTCTGACCCTCCTTGGGCTCTGTGAAAAATAAAAAGCAGGCTATAAAACAGTATATACCATATGAACTCATTTTTATGAAGACACAAAACCTTTCATCACTGCCTAGTACATTAAATTGTAAGTACTCAATAAAAATTGAAGCATAATAATTGAAATGGTTGAATGGACAGTAAAAATAGTTTTATGCACCAAAATGTTAACTAACTGTACTTATTTCTGTTATAAAGCTATAGTTGATTCCTTATTCTTTTTTCCCTCATACAGTAGGGAAAAAAAGTATAAAAGCGTTGCTTATTTATTTATTTATGATGAGAGATTGGTGAAAATGAAAATACTTTGTAGTTGTAGAAAGAGCTATGTAGGGAGTCATAAACTTAACCATTCTCTGGAATATCTCAAACCACTAAGACATTTTGTTATCCTTTTACTCTGAAAAGGCAGCATAATAGTTGGGATGTGTCATAAGGAAAAGATGTCTTCCATAGTTTAGGTACATAGAGCAAGTTGGGACGCAATTCCAAAAATAATAGCTTACCAGGGCTGAGAGGGTTCACATGTAACAACAGATGAGTGGCAGCTGTCTAACTCTTGCTTCAAAACAGCATGCTTAATGCTGGGGTGGGAGACCCATCACTGGGTGGAGACCTTATAGGAGACAAAAATAGAAGTTTCCTTATCCTCGCGGAGCTCAGAGGCAAGTGACTGACTGGGAGGTTACACTTAGAGTTTTTGTGCTTCTGTTGAATTCATCTTTAAAATAGGGATGATAATATTATTCCTGCTTAAAAGGTTGTTATAAAAAGTAACTACTTAAAAGCATTACTTGATATTCCAAAAATATAAATCTAGATATGTCTAATAGTGTAAATTCTAAATTTGCTAGTTGTAAGTAAATGTTTATTGAGTGTTTAAGTCAGGGACTGTGCTAAACGCAATTTTTAAAAAATTATTTTCTGAGTAGGTAATACTGTACTTGGGAAACCAATTTCGGTAGGGTGTACAGTGAAAAGGCTTCCTTGCACCTGTCTCCCAGCCACCAGGTTCCCTTAAATGTTTCCGGAGAGATTTTATGCATATGCATGCATATGTGTATCTGCTTTTTAAAATGATGGATGATAGCACATTATACTAACTGTACCTTTCTCTTGTTGAGTACAGAGTGTTTCCTGTCCTTATCTCATATAGTACTCACCGTAGTAAAGATAGGTACTCATATTGTCTCCATTTTACAAATAAGGAAACAAAGACATCTCAATTTCTTAATAATTTATGCAAGGTATATAGCATGTAAGTTATAGATAGAATCTACTTTCTAGGTATAGAGGCAGTTATTTTGGTATTATTTATTTGTTTAGCTTTAAAGTTTGAAACCATTTCAAACTTACAGAAAAGTTGCAGGAATACAATAATATTCTTTCTTTGGCTTTCCTAACCTTAATATTTTTGGAGGTCACAGCTGGTTGTTTCATAGAATATCTCTCAATTTGCGATTGTCCTAGGTTTCCTCACAGTTGAACCCACATTATGCTTTTTTGGCCAAAAGACACAGGAGTTACGTTGTGTTCTCCCCATTGCATCCTGTCATGGGGTATGCAGTGCTGATGCGTCCCATTGCTGCCATTAAAGGGAGAAAGGGGAAAAGAGGAGAGGGGAGGGGGAAGTAGCTTACATTAGTTATCTTTTCAGACAGCCCTCTCTTCAGTAAATATCTTTTCCTTGTAGCATCCTGGTGGAGAAGAGGTTCTGCTGGAACAAGCTGGTGGAGATGCAACTGAAAGTTTTGAAGATGTAGGCCACTCCTCTGATGCCAGAGAAATGCTCAAACAGTACTATATTGGTGATGTGCATCCGGTAAGAATTAGCTGATCTCTAGGAGTGCTTGTAGAGAGAGGAAGCTATCCAACAGCCACAGATCATGATGAGGGAATGAGTTACTAAAATGGAGATTCGTTCAACCCAGCCATCAGGCTAAATTTTCTCCAAAATCATCTAGCCTTACTGTGCTAAGATAGAGCTTCTTGTCTGTAAATCAACACATATAGTGTCTATGAAAAGGAACTGATTTTGGAGGTGGGGTTATTTTTGATTGATTGATTTTTTTGTAATGCAGTTAATATCTCTACCTAAAATAGTAGTTTGGTCTTGCAAATTCATTGCTAAAAGTGGTAACTATGGACTTTTAAAACCATACCATTCTAACAAGGGACCCTGATACGCTCAGAGTCAGGGATGCAGGGGTGGGGGAGTGGGCAGTACCCTTCTGTAGACCCTGACATCTCCCAGGGAATTACTACTACCAGAATGTAGTCTCATTTTCCAAAGTTAGAAGTAAGCAGGTAATGAGAGTTCATTTAGATGTGTCTTAAAATATTATTTGTTTTCCTCTTTAAACAGAATGACCTTAAACCCGGAAGTGATGGCAAGGTAAGAAGTCCTCTATTTCTCTTGTGTCTTTCAAGTGTTTATATTTCTTTTTCTTTTTTTTTTTTTTAATGTATTGTAACAAGAGAAGTGTTTACTTTTCCCCCAAACAAAAATCCTGTTTTTTAGGAATTTGGACTCAGTACCATCTCAGGAAAAAAGAATAGCTGAGTCTTGAACAGTAGGAACATTTTGTTCATGCTTCTGTTCGCTTTTTTAAAAAATTGAAACTCTAAAGCCATGCCCCGTATTGCTTTGAAAGAAATTAGTTTATAGATTCAGTTGTAGAAAAGTATTTCTTATTCTTACATTTAATAGTATAGATGATAATAATTCTGTGTTGGAAAAAGAATTGGAAGGTCGATTTACTCTTTAAAGTCTTAGAATGAGTTGTAGACTGGAACAATTGAGTAATTGACTGGAACAGGCCTTTCTGTCCCTATTCCCCTATGGTGTAGGCTCACATAGGCCTCACACCCTTCCCATTCACACAGTGATAACTGCAAAAACAAAAGATTAAATATTTGAAAACCTTAATGTGTACTGCATAATGTACCAGGAAGAAAATATGAAAGCCTTTTTGCTTCCCACAAGCTGGATGGTTCATCTCCCTTATCCCCCCACTTTTTTCCCGCTATTTTCCTTGACTCTTTACCTACCCTCTAATTTAAAGGGACAGCAGTTAGTTGTCACCCAGAACATCATGGACGCAATGCTCCCTCCTCTTTTCCTCCTTCTAGCTTCTTGCTTCCCTTTCCTCATTGAGCTAGTATTACTGAACTCATGTGACACAGCAATTAAAGTTGGCCTATACACAAGAATTCTTTCAATTCAAGAGATTGCTTGATGGTATCTGCCACCTCTTGCTCTGCCATCCAGAGTGCTTGTGTAAATTAACGCTTCCATCTTGCTGCACTCTGCTACTCTGAACTGTTGAATTGTTTATGAAGGGGGCATGAAATAGTTCTTTAAATGCTTTGTGAGCACTGTTGGTTTGTTTGTCCTCCCCTCCTAACACATGTACTATCCATTCTTGAATCTTCAGTTGTGTAATTAAGGTAAAATTTGAACTAAGCATGGCTTGTTTGGTGTATTGAACATGTCCAGAAACCATTGCTTTCAGAGGTCAACATTTGATTCACGGGATGTTCCCATTTGTACAAGAGATGCACCTTGTATCCAGGAGGCATAACCCACTTCTGCACAGCACTGTGAGAACACCCATTATATTTAAGACAAATAAAATTGTGGGGGAGTTATAATGTCTAGAAGTCTACAAATTGCTTCTTGTTGCTATTTTTCTTCCTTGGTAGTATAGTATGTAGTTAGGACCATTCTTAGGAATGGAGAGCAGTGTTTTTCAAATTCTATTCCCTGTACCACCTGTATTGTAATCTCTTGGCATGTTTTCTGAAATGTATATTTCCTGGGCTGCCATTACTACTACTGATTCATGATCTCTGGAGGTGGGAATTTGCACTTAAAGTAACCGAGATAGCCAAGCACCAGACTGTGCTGAATGACATGCCCGTCTTTTCATTTGAAAACTTAGGGAACTTTAGTTCTCTTCTGTGGAAAGCACTGTCTGCCTGTTCGCCACAACTACAGAAAGCCCATGTGCAGCAACGAAGACCCAACGCAACCAAAACAAACAAACAAACAAACAAAAAAAACCATGTTAAGCCTTTATAGAGACAATCTTACTTCCTTAAAAAAAAGAAACAGATCAAATCCTGTTATAGCAAATGTCATCTCATCAAAGCTTTTGTCTGTGGAATACTAAGTATTAAAGAGAATGAGAGGGACTTCCCTGGTGGTCCAGCAGATAAGACTCCACGCTCCCAATGCAGGGGACACGGGTTTGATCCCTGGTCAGGGAACTAAGATCCCACATCCCACATGCCGCATGCCACACGGCGCGGGCCAAAAAAAAAGAGAGAGAGAGAGAGAGAATGAGAGAGATCTTTATAAATTGATAAGGAACAATCACTAAGATAAAATTTTTTAGTAGAAAGAAGCAAGGGGCAGAATAGCACCTATGAGATTTTTAAAGCAAGGGATGGTTGGTCTGTCTACTGATCAATCAGTCTATATCCATCCATCCACGTGTTTATATTTATGTATGCACAGAATCTCTTTGGAAGAGTAAACAAAATGGTAGCTGGTTACCTCAGGAGAAGGGGAACTGGGAGACAGAGGTGGCGATGGCAGTCATTTTTATAGTACACTTTTTTGTACTATTTGAATTTTTAACCATGTACACCACAAACCACCCATTCAAAAAAGTTAAATGGAAAAATGGTCAGGTTATTGGGTCTATGCATCGTAATGAGATTTGACTAGTGAAGCAGTTGGACTGTCACCTAGATAATATCTGTTGAATAAATGAATGAAATGGTGCCACATTTTTTTAGTCAGGTTAGCATTTGTATGTTCCTTATCTCCTGAACTGAAGGTAGACTGAGTGATAAAAATGTTAACGAAGAAGTAAACCCATAATCCAAAGAGAGACCTCATGGACCACAAATGTGTCTAGGTTACTTTGGCACAGTAGGCAGGCAGGCAAACTGGCACAGAAAACACTGTTTCTAAGGTAAGTTTCATTGTGGTGGCTTCTTGTTGAGGAGCACGGGCTCTAGGCACACAGGCTTCAGTAGTTGTGGCACACAGGCTCAGTAGCTGTGGCTCGTGGGCTCTAGAGTGCAGGCTCAGTAGTTGTGGCACACGGGCTTAGTTGCTACGCGGCATGTGGGATCTTCCCGGACCAGGAGTAAAACCCACGTCCCCTGCATTGGCAGGCGGATTCTTAACCACTGCGCCACCAGGGAAGTCCCTTAACATGTTTCTTAAACTTCATTTTTTAACTTAAAAAATTTAACTTTTGAAATTTAGTAAACTCCATCCATGTTAGAAGCAGTTTATAACTTGCATTTAAAGGCAGATACATTTTTTTCTCCCAGATGCTATAGACTTTTGTTATACAGTTTTCTATTACACATACGTAAAGTATCATACATACATAACATTCAGTTTACCTTCTCTCTCTTTTTTTTTTTTCTTGGCGGTACGCGGGCCTCTCACTGTCGTGGCCTCTCCCGTTGCGGAGCACAGGCTCCGGACGCGCAGGCTCAGCGGCCATGGCTCACGGGCCCAGCCGCTCCGCGGCATGTGGGATCTTCCCGGACCGGGGCACAAACCCGTTTCCCCTGCATCGGCAGGCGGACTCTCAAGCACTGCGCCACCAGGGAAGCCCTACCTTCTCTTTTATGGGAGGGAAACTAAAAAGAATGCAGGTTTATAGTTATGTAATGTAGTTAGTTGGTTGCATCATACTAAAAAGAAGAATTGTTAAATATTCCTATCATATCTACAACCTAATTTATTAACGTTTAAAATGGGTATGCAGCTGCCCTTCAGATGAGTAGTGCTTGCTATTTACCAAAGAATTTTGTATGGTGGTTTCATTGTTGCCTGTTTTTTCTTCCCCTAACATTTGTATTTTGTAACGTAATCTTTTGAAATAAAGCATAGAATGTAATGGCAAGATCACTCTTGAAAGACAAAATACCCTTTTCTGAGGAATCTGAAGGCTTAGTGTCTTCTTGTAATGCTTTATTTAGAAATGATGTGTAGTTTTGCAAAGCAAGATGTCAGAAGGACAAGGTAACATCTTTTGCAAATCAGCCCTCCAATGTTATAACAAGTTTTTCACTTCTTAGGTCCCAGTAGAAATTAGTGTCTGAGTGTTTTAATTTTTTTTCTTCAGTGATGTCTTATGTATCTTATAATGGGTTCTTGAGAGAGTCGTATAGAAATTTGTTTTAGCAGGTGTTTTTCATCTTTGAATTTGCCCTTAGGTACAGGGAAATATTATTTATATGACTGGACTGACTCTAGGGATGTATGCTTTACAAGACTAATTGTTAAACTGTATTCTCATCTAGAAAGAAATCTTAGTGCATTAGAGTGTCATGAGAAGGCTGTCCTCAAGATCCACACCACATGGCCATGAAAATATTGAAGTCATATACTTTCAAAACTCAGACTTTTTAGGTTGTATGATGAACCTAAAACTAAAATTTATATAGTGTTAGCTAATGTTACACAGTCCATTGTATTATGGGGGGAAAATCCTTTGCACTAGTGTTTGAAGCCCAAAGTTCCCAAGTTGTTTTTCATAAGTTTCTGGCCACATAGAAACCAAATTATTCTAAATAAAAGCTGCAAAAACTACCAGACCACCCAAATACTCATTAAATTTGCTGAAGGTGTTCTATGGTTTAAAATCCACTTCTTCCAATTTTAAATACTTGGAATCCTCTTGGAATGGCTAACATTCAATTTAGGAATTAAAACATAAGCTTTTTATATACCTTATATTTCCCTTTTATTTAAACCTCTGAAAGTCTGAGTATAAACTGTTTAGGCTGAAGGTACACGTAATGCTCTGTCTGTATGTTTGAATGCATCATAACTATAATTTTGGCGCATTGCTTCCTACGTTTATGTTCTGGTGACAAAGTACACCATTCCGTAAGCATGTGTTCTCCTCCCATGTTTTCCTCATAAACAGGGTTCATAGTGAAATCACCCCCCACTGACCCCCAGATCCCTTCCCATATGTTTGCCAATTATGACATTTCTTTGTCATTCTTTTAACCACATCGGAGAGGGTTGGTACTCACGGCACACTGTCTCGGAAGAGTATCTGGAAGAACACACCTTTACGTACGTGCTGGAAAATAGAAACGTCTCTGTGTGGTTGTGCTCCTTCAGTCTTCCTTCTTGGACGTGGGAGAATGGTATTAACTTCTCTCTAATCTTTAGAAGTCTGCTCTTGTAGGTTTTGCTAAAATGCCCTTGGGTCGGAAAATTGTGTTGAGTTAATTGAATATGACTTTAGAATTCAGGTTCATCTGATTTGAGCCTTTCAGTTCACAGGTGAGGAAACTGATTTAGCATTGAGCTTGAGGATATTAGACATAATTTCAGTTATAATCAGCTTTAATAAAAAGGTTACTCAAATATTATGAAATATTTCCTCTTGTCCTACAAAGTCCATGTTTAGTGTTTGTATGTATATAAGTATATTTATTTACTTATTTATGTTATGAGGGAATTAAAGGCTTAATGAATCTTGAACTTTAGGAACCACTGTATTTAAACAGTTAATTTCTGTTAATTTTGGACTAAAATCAGAGTAGACTTAAAGCAATCTGGTTGTTGGAATTGGATTCCAGACTCATTGGAGAATAGAGAAGCATGCATATTAATCACTTGGTAAGGCTTTTGGTAGAACTCTGGATTTGAACTGCTCTCTTGTAACTAAAATCATGTAGTATTGCAATTACTACTATCCATGCCAAAGATGGAGAGCAGTCACTTCTCCTGACCAATCTTGCATGTAAATTGAAATGTGGGCAAGAACATAACCAGCCAAGATATGCCTGAACACCCACAGGGGTAAATTAAAGTCAATCATAAACTGTAGGAATTTCACCTAAGCATCTGTTAGATGCAGCACAGAGCTCTGGAGTGGAAATGAGAACGGGGGAGCTGTACATGGAGAGATTGGAAGGGTGAAGATGAAGGAAGGTTTTGTGTTAATAGAACCCTTTTCTTCTTAATTTTGTTAAATTAAAAATAACTTACTTGGCTTCTTTCCAAACTTGGCCGAGACACTTGGCTACAAGAGCAGTGCCTTAAAAAACTCTTTCATTTATAGTTGATTAAAAGCGGAGTCACTTTGGCATTTATTTGGCTCTTCGTATTCTAAAGAGAATAAGCTTCCTTCTCTTTTCTTTCCTAGATTGCTCTTAAAACAGGGGTTGAGGTACTTAGTTGAAAGAGAGGGAGGGAGGGAGGCAGGGATGAAGGAAGGAAGGAAACCATGTATATTTTAAAATTTTTATTGCTTATTATGAACTATTACAATTTCAGTATATTATGGTCTTGATTCGTCTGGCCTCTCTCTCTCCCCCTCTCTTTCTTCTCTCACTTGCTTACTACGTTGTCTGAGGCTCACTCTAGTTAGCACACACAAGTGCTTTTGGTTGTAAAAGAGACTAAAAACTTTGAAATCTAGAGAATCCATTTATATGAACTAACGGATTTAATGTGGTTATAGATTAAACATCATAGTACATATATTACTCTGTTTCGCTTTCACATAAGCCTTTCAGATTACCTCCACTTTTTTTTTTAATACTAAGTCTACATTTTTTGTTCCGTAAATCATTGGTATATGTGTGGATAAAGAAAGCATAAAAGACCATGGAATTTTCTTGATAGAATTCAATTATTTCTTGGCTACTGTAGTGGAATATTTTTAAAAAGGCAATGTTGGGCTTCCCTGGTGGCGCAGTGGTTGAGAACCCGCCTGCCAATGCAGGGGACACGGGCTCGAGCCCTGGTCCAGGAAGACCCCGCATGCCACGGAGCAACTAAGCCCCTGCGCCACAACTACTGAGCCTGCGCTCTAGAGCCTGCGTGCCACAACTACTGAGCCCGTGCGCCTAGCCCATGCTGCAGAACAAGAGAAGCCACTGCAATGAGAAGCCTGTGCACCGCAACGAAGAGTAGTCCCCACTCACCACCACTAGAGAAAAGCCCGCGTGCAGCAACAAAGACCCAACACAGCCAAAAATAAATAAATTAATTAATTAGTTTAAAATAAAAAAGCTTTAAAAAGGCAACATTGTAAGTGAGATGCACACACAACCGTCAATTACCACCCCGGCCTTCCAAATCTGCAAAACACTCGCTGTTATTTCTCAAAGATTGACCGTAACATGTTTTAGCTAGCCTGACTCGTTCTATTCAAGGAGAAATGTCCCAGATTGTTAACATTGGGGTCTCAAAGAAGTGTAGTAGTATATTAATAGGATTTATCTAAAACTTTTTGTTAGAAGTTTTACTTGCCTATAGGCGATTTCTTTCAGGTTTGGGGCATGTATTCATTTGCATGAAATGTTTTGGGTATATGAAATTAAAACTTATCTCATGGTCTGCTCTAAAATATCTAGGCCAGTATGTATGTAGGGTTTTGGGGAATCCTGGAGGTTACTGAAATTTGTAGTTATGTGTGCATACCCTGGCATATTATTGCATATTGGCAAAGATGATCTTTTGGGCAGCAGTAACTTATGCTAATGGGTTATTGTCCTCTGGCAGTAAGTTAGCAGGCTTCTTTGTACTATACAGCTAATTAATGAAATCCGTAACTTCATTTGATATTTACATAAAGTGAATTTAAAAATTTAGTATCAGCTTTATTAAGGTATAATTCACATGCCATCCAGTTCACCTATTTAAGATGTATAAGTCAAGGGTTTTTAGTATATTCAAAGCTGTGCAACCATAATCACAAATTAATTTTGGAACATTTTCATCACCACATAACCTTTAGCAGTCATTTTCCATTTCCCTCCAGCTCCTCTTCTCCCAGCCCTAGGAAACCACTAATCTACTTTTCTGCCTCTCGGTTTGCCTATTCTGAACATTTCATGTAAATGGACTTTTTATAATACATGGTCTTTAGTTTCTTTCAGTTCTTTCAGTTCACGTAACATTTAAGGTTCATCAGTGTTGTCGCACGTATAAGTACCTTGTTACTTGTTGCTGCCAGATTTTTGTTTTTAAGTTTATTTTGGTATTTTCTTTCCCCTAACTCCATTCTTGCTGTTTTCATTGTGAAATAAGCCCTAAGGTCTCTAATCGTAATTTTTACGATTTCAGAGAGTAAACCAGTTCGCTTCTCTAAGCCACAAAGCAGTCATCTGCATGCTTTTGAGCATTTCCCAGTTGATCTCTATGTTACAAGACAGGAGTTTTTATTTTTTAACAGTGTTTTCACAAAATGTCATCTTAGCTACTGCCAGTGGCAAGCCACAGTGAACCAGGCTTACCATTGTGACTGCAAATTAGTTCATTGCAATATAGTTTGTGCCAGTGGCTCTTTTTGTTTGTTTGTTTGTTTTTTACAAATAAAAAGAGTTTAGGTCATTTCTCTATGCTTTCATTAGTGGTTCTTTACTAGGGAATACCTGTATATTATCAGAAAAAGAATTCCTAGTCCTCCCATCACATATGGATTTGTAAACATCAAATTGCATGAAAGATGAAGTTCTGTTATTAGCTTCAGAGTTTGCATGACTATTCGAGAAGATTTGTATACTCTGTGTTAATCTTGTTTGTTGTTTGTTTGTTTTTGAATATGCATCTTCTTCAGGACCCTCCGAAAAATAATACGTGCAGAAGGTTGGTATTCCCTTAATAGATTTCCTTATGCTCAACATACTGTGTGGCAAAGAGGTTCTTCCATAAATATACATGTGTAACATAACTTAGAGTACAGTTTGACAGCTCATTCTTTTTTGGTCAAAATTATTACAAATTCAGTAGTTCCTTAGCTTTAGCAAAATTAATTTTTACAGTTTTAGTCATCTGAGTAATCTCAAAAAAGTTCTTGCCTTGAGTAATTTTTAAATCTTGTTGTGACATAAATTAGAATCACATGTAGTAAGAGGTAAGTATGCATGGACAAGTATTACTGTTAATTCAGGCCCACAGTCTCTGTAGCTCAGCCAAGCTATGCAACTTCCATTAAAAACTTAATCTCAAAAAAAAAAACAAAACTTAATCTCATTTAATCCTCACAGCCACTCTGCACCTACCTTACATATTATAAATGTAATAATAAATGTAAAAATGTATTATTACATTTTATAGAAGAAAAAAATTGTGTATTGCAATCATGTTCAGGAATGTGTGCTTCCTCAAAGGTTTACTTATCCCTTGCAGTAATGTTACTAACACAGTAGAATTAGCCCTGAAAGGTATACATTTGTCATCCCTTAAGTGTCTCTACTTGAGATAACTGTAGAATCCTTGGCTTGTAAAAATTTATAGAGATTATATAGTGCTGTTTTATCTTTCTGAGATCCCACTTAAAGCATTTCATAGAGAGAAAATGTGTCTTTTTTTCTCATAAAAGTACCATGTCTTTTTTGTTTGAGGTGATGGACAGAATATTTTTAAAAAGTGGAAATTAAAGGAAACTGTTAGTAAATTCAGCTTTCTTAATATTAAGGATCTAGGCTCATCCAAAAGCTCCATAAAGAATTTGAAAATACAGGCCATAAACTTGCAGTAGACTTACACTACACTTAAAACTGATTAAAAATTACTATGTAGAATACATGAAGAATTTTTACAAATCAATTAAAAAATAACTTAGTAGAATATGAGAAAAAGACTTAAACAAGCACCTTACAGAAGAGGAAGCACAAATATAAGCATATGGGAAAAAAAGGTTTAATTTCATTTGTTGTCAGAGAGATGCAGATTAAAATCATAGGGTATATTTCACACCTGCCAGATGGTTGAAAATTTTTAAAAATTCTAAAAATAAGAGGAGTTGTTTAGGAAGTGTATTACCAATATTCTTAGGCCCTCTTTAGGGTCTTAGGGAGATGTAAATGGGTACAGTCCCTGTGGAAAACAATTTGGCATTATCAAGTAAATTTGACAATATAATAACTTCTGACCCAGCAGTTGCATTTCTAGGGATATATACATACTCAAGAGAAATGTGTGTACAAGTATACCAGTGAGCACGTACTAGAATGCTCATAGCAACATTATTCAAGATATTAAAATATTGGAAACAACCCAAATAACTATTAATTAGTAAAATGAATGAATTCATTCTGGGATATTCATATAGTGGAATACTTCAAAGCAATAAAAATAACTGAGTCACAACTACATGCAATAACCTGAATAAATCTGAATGAAGAGAGTTCTGTCTTATGGCCAGGAAGTTGTTGTTGAATCTGTATCTCCTTTGGTGCAGTATAGGTGCATTTCTTCTTGTTCTGTTCTCATTGGCCGTAAAGTTACAAAGGATTATATGAGGATTGGTGGTCAACCATTCTCAGTCTTTGCACTGAAGACTTTATCTTCTGTGTTTTGAACTCTTTTGTCCCTTGTGGCTGCTCTGGAAGATACCTGAGTTCATTACTCTTCTGGGGAGATTACTTTTTAAGTTTCCCTGTGCCATATTGCTGTTGTACATACTGACCAACTTGCTTGTGTCTTTAAACAAAGCTACCTGGCTGACATTCTAAACTTGTCCAGAACAGCTTTCTGCCATACTTAAATGTACAAAGTGCTAGGCATGTTTAGGCAAAGAGAATCATTTTTATTATTGAACCTCAGCTGGTTTTTTGGGCTTCAAAGCCTTTTAATACCTAGACTGCATATGTCATAAGTGGAGGGGCAGCCAGGTCATTTGGATCATGGAAGAATTATACCTTAAAACTAGCAGAGCTAATAAGCTCTGTTAGAGAGGAAGGATCTTTTCAGCTATGTGGCTTGCGGGATCTTAGTTCCCCAACCAGGGATTGAACCTGAGCCACCGCAGTGTAAGCGCAGAGTCTTAAGCGCTGGACCGCCAAGGGAATCCCCAGGAAGGATTATTTTAAGGAGAATAATGACTGTCCTGAAACTCTGAGGAAAGTTTCTTACAGGACTTTTTAAGCCAACTACCATTTATTTAACTTTACTAGAACTATCAGTATGTTGTGTGTGTGCATGTGTGTGTGTCCTTGTTAGTGTCTGAACTTAAGTAGGGATTAAGGGGATGGGAATCAGGATAGGAATCAGACTGCTTGACCAACTTCCCTTTGTGATTTTGGGTGCAAAGCTTGTATTTCATATATAAAATGAGAATAATAATACCTATTTCGTAGGATTGTTGTGAGGATTAAATTTTAAAAACACATGTGGGGCAAATGTAATATCGTCAGCAGTTGTGTATTAGGTATCATTGGTTCTAAATTTATAATTATATACATAAAATGGTGGCTTTTTCCTGCTCACAGATGTTAATTGTAGAATATGTGAAAAGCATAAAGAAAAATTTAAACTCTCCATAATCCTGTAACCCAGAAATAACCACTTTACGTCTTTGTGAAAACATATATACTGAGGTGTGTATGTATATATTTTTTTGGTATTAACCATACATTCCGTTTTTAATCCTTTTAAAATTATTGTTTAACTTCAATCCAAATCTTTGGATTTTTTTATTTCCTCAAATAAAATTCTTTGCTACAAAAATATTAAAATGTGAAAAATGTTTAAAATATTAAAATGTGAATGTTGAAAGATAGGGTACATTTGGTATGAAATGTTCACGATTTTATTGCTTCTCCCCCCTACCCCCCCAAATATCTAGCTACTGGTCGTATTGGATCTTCCCCATCGTAGGTGCTATTCTCTTAGGTTTTCTGTATCGTTACTACATGGCGGAGAGCAAGTCCTCCTGAGGAGACCTTGTTGAAGTCTGGAAAGCACATCTACTTGGGAGTGAGAACTAGACGCTTGTTTGGAGGCTGCAGCGGTGCCCTCTTCTCGAATCCTGCCAATTGTATTCTTCTCCCTCGGACCCCAGACTGTTGGCCGGACATCCGCCTCAGCCCTGGGGCCAGTGTCCAAGTCATTTCTCAGAGCCTTACTCTCAAAGCACCTGCTCATTGTGTCCTTGCCTTTGTTTCCTCTCTTTACTCTTTTCCACGAGCACCTTTATGTTTCAAAACTTTCTTTTATAATTATAGTCTACGTATCCTAGTGACATTGCCCTTTGGTAAAATTGCCTGCTTTCCAATACTTTGAATGCACATTAGACATACTTAACAGGGCGTCACACTCTGGTTTTGAAGCTTTTCTTTTTCCCTTTTTCTTCTAAGTAAATATTATTTTAAAAATTATGACTTAATTATCATAAGAGGTTTAGTTCATGAAGTCAGGTTGCACACCTGCGACTTAAAACACAACTGCAGAATGATCTTGTTCCTTGTTTATATTTGTTAAAACTGAGTGTAGCAGGGAGCCCTTGCCACCTCCTAAGGCCACCAAATGGTGCTGGGCAGAACTCTGCTTCCCTTTTGTTTATGGGGAGTGGAGAGAAACAGGGAGAGGAAGAGATGGATTGGGATGATAGAGTGAATTCATGGTAATCTTTCTTTTGAAAAATATTGAAAAACACTACTTTTAGGGCAGGAGTTTAGAAAAAGCACCAAAAACTTTATCCTTTACTTTGGCACCAGTTCCTAGCCATCTTTTTTCTTTCTTTTTTTTTTTTTTTTTTAAACCCCTTACCATCTTGTATTGGTAAAATATAAATTTATAAATATGTGTTTAGAGCTTTACAGTTTTGTTAGAGGATTTTGCTCTTTTTTTGTTTATCAACTGGCAATTTTTTATTCCCCTTTTTACAGAAGTAAGAGACTCCAAATTGATCAAAGGTACAGTATTTAATCTTCTGTTTGCCCCAGTAAAATAACTCCCATGGTAAAGCGGCATTCAGAGGGGGTAGATCGGGACAAGAGAATGTTTTCCATTTCATGTGTATTTTACCTCCATGGCTCCAGTTTGTGGTTTTGTTGTTTTTTCCATTGAGAATAAAAAACTGGTAGGTTTTTTTTTTTTTCTCAGATGACTGTTTCATTGAGAAGAAGGTTATTATTTAGAGTTACGTTACTGTTTCTCCTTGGTTTGGACATTCTCTGGTGTATTTGACTGCTTTCCCCGCACCCCCCTCCGGTGGAAGCACCTGAGGAGGCCGTCCACTGGGAGTTTTCTGCCGACAACTGTGGTGATTTTTCTTCCCATCCTTTGAGGATGACCGGTCTACTCTGAGCCATCGTCACATGCAGCAGGAAGCAGCGTGGTTCAGGAAGGACCATGGGCACTGCTCTGTATCCTCCCCTATTCCTGCTTGCCAGGCACTTGACAGGACAGGAAGCTACACAGCACACCAGTGTCTGCCCATGCAAACTATTTAAGAAAAAGTTCAACCCAGGTCTTGTATCCTGTGATTTAGCAGTTGAGTGAATTCACAGTTTGTAAAAATCATGTTAACCTGCTAGTCGCACACCTGGTTATGACATTATGGGCTTTCTGGCTGACTTTTATATGTCAGGGATATGGGTAAATTTTTTAAACATATCTTTTTTTTTTTGATGTGGCCCATCTTTTAAAGTCTTTATTGAATTTGTTACAATATTGCTTCTGTTTTATGTTTTGGTTTTTTGGCCACAAGGCATGTGGGATCTTGGCTCCCCGACCAGGGATCGAACCTACACCCCCTGCATTGGAAGGTGAAGCCTCAACCACTGGACTGCCAGGGAAGTCCCTAAAACTTATATCTTTAGAAAATGTTTTGTATGTATTATAAGATGCCAGTGTAAGACAATTTATTGAAAGAAAAATCTTTGGTTATTGTGTAACAGAGGTGGTGTGACTTGATGCTCCTCCAGGAAGGCAAGGAAGGGTTGCCTTGAATAAGAATTGATATATAATTGCTGTAATCATTAAGTTGCATGATCACATGGGCCCACACTGGGATAGAAAGAAGAACAAAGGAGTATTGAGGAGCTGGAAAGGGAACATTCAAGCTAAAACTAAGCCAGAAGATAACTTGGGTCAATTAAAAGTGCGTTGGCAGTCCCCAAAATTGAATGAAAAACATCTGGCTTAGAAGAAATGTTAAAGAACGATATTCTTAAGTAAAATTTGTGTTTTTTTGATATTTTTAGGGTAAAGACCACTGCAAAAGGTATATGTTTTTCTATTTCATATTGGTTGTCTTTTCCTGTTTATATCTTGACTTGTTTTTGTTCAGAGCCAGAGGAAAAGATTTTCAGGCTTCGTCTCACCATCCATGAAATCCATCCAATACCCAGGGCTTCTTTTGATCTCCTGCTAATACCATGTCACTTTGTATTATAAAAACCACTCTTGGGTCCATTTACTATTATTCTGCTGCCTACATAAACAACCAGGTAGAGCTTGTGTGAGTTTGCAGAGGTTTTTTTCTAAACAATAAAGTAATATAGTATGTTAACCGAATCCGTCAAAAAGGACTTTTGTTTTAAGAAGTAGACAGGAATTCTCGAAACAGTTTCGACATTGGTGGGTCATCAAAACCCCTCTGGAGAGACAGTGGAGCCAGTCCCTGTTGGCCAGCGGGCCTCCTGGGATGTCTCTGGGGTGTTTGGTTGTTTATTCCCAAGGAAGGGTCACTGCTGCTGCTCACCATACTGTACACATAATGGCTGGAGAGCACAAGAGGAGGAGATGAGGGGAAATTAGTGCCCCCAAAATAGGGATGTTAGTGCTGGGTCCCAAAATTTCCTGCCCCTGTCTCTCAGGAATGGGTTTTGGTTTCCAAATGACTTACATTTGTAAAGACAGGAAAGTGGTACAGATAAAGTTTATACTGTGTTTAGTTCTAATTTGACCACTTAAGCAGCAACAAAAATGCATTGGAACTTATAATTTGAGCCGTAAAGTTCTTTCAGCCGTTGTCACAAATCCACACATTGTGAAATAAGAATGTTGTTGAGTATATACTCAGTTCCCAAGTGAAGCAGTGAAAAATGCTTTACAGGCCAGATATATCATTACTTACATAGTATCTCATGCTTAAAATCTTAAGTGATACCTATCTGATTAAATTCCATTTTAGAAACGCAGAACTTTAATGTTCATTACTTCCTTCTCCAGGAGGAATGGATTCAGACATGACTTGTCTGAACAGGAGATTGATCTTTTTTTTTTTTTTCTTTTTTTAACCATCTCGTTCTTTTGCCAAATACCACAGAAGTAATGGGAAGTTTAGTCACATTTGATGGTTGTGCCCTGGAAGAGCTTGGGTTTGGAATTTGTGGGGGTGATCTCAAAGGGAGGTTTCAAGAAGCAGAGAGGTATTTGTCAAGTCACCTACCCTACATCTAGCATCCCACTCATGAATTTTAGGAGCTGCTTTGTGCCTACACCTATATTCTACATTGGCTTTTTAGGCAAAACATTATTATGATTATTTAATTTCCTTTTGACTTCACCCTCTGAGCGAGTAATATTAACATTCCTTTTGTGTATTCAGTAATGAAGTTTGTTTACCTATTTTATTTCAGCATATTTTGAACAAAGATCTTTGTCTCTTTCTGCTGGAATGTGCACACAGTGAATGTTTGTTAGAACTACACACAATAAAGATACTGTTTTCCTTTTCTCTCCCTGACTACAGTATTTTTTTTTTTTTACATTTATTTAGCTTTGCTCTTATATTTTATTTTTTGGCTGCATTGGGTCTTCGTTGCTGTGTGCAGGCTTTCTCTAGTTGTGGCGAGTGGGGGCTACTGTTCGTTGCAGTGCACAGGCTTCTCATTGCGGTGGCTTCTTTTGTTGCAGAGCACCGGCTCTAGGCGTGCGAGCTTCAGTGGTTGTGGCACGTGGGATCAGTAGTTGTGGCTCATGGGCTCTACTGTGCAGGCTCCATAGTTGTGGTGCACGGGCTTAGTTGCTCCACGGCATGTGGGATAGTCCTGGACCAGGGCTAGAACCCGTGTCCCCTACATTGACAGGCGGATTCTTAACAACTTTGCCACCAGGGAAATCCCTACAGTTATTTTTTAAAAAAAATTTTTTTTTTTTTTTTTTTTTTTTAAGTAGAGATGTTGGTCCTGTAATTCTCAGGTGTTCTGGAAGAAAAGAATTTGAGAAGCATAAAAGTCACCTGTATCTATGCTACTACTGGGTTTAGTGTAACTGGATGGGGAGTTCTGCAGTTTTCAGGATTCTTACTGCTGCTCTTTCCTTGACGTGAGTTGTGCGATTGATAATCCTGAGAGGCAGAAATCAAGACTTTTGCTGTATTAACAGATGTGAAGTGGCAACCGGGTAGACAGGTTGGGAGTTCTGTTTTTACTGAAACCATCTGGTAAAGAGAAGCCAGTTCAAGGTAATAATATGTTGTTATCTGTAATGCCAGTCTTCAAATGGTTGTTTTTCTTGGAAACAGCTAAACTGTTGGGGAAAATTAAACATTGAGATCGAAGTTCTAGTGACTATGTTAATAAAACAAGGTAAATAAACCATTTGTATAATTACCTTTAAAACATACTGATAGCATTCTAACATAACCAATGAGACATCATTCCTTAGGGCTTGGTTATTTCACTGTCACATGAATTGAGGATTACTAACAGGAAAGGAAAGTCCCATTCTTATTACTAGTGTTTGAATCTAATGTATAACCTTCAATCATAATAATTCACATCACTCTTCCTGATGCTGAGTATTTAGCAGGTACTTGACAAATCCTGGTTGATTCCTGAAAACTTGAGGTCAAAGATTGTCATTTCAACTATGTAAATTTAAGGTAAGAAACACCTTACCTTAAATTAAGAAACAAATGCAAATACAAATGCTGTTTGTTACAAGTGTGACAAGTGGCATTTTTGATCCATCAGTGCCAGTCTCAGAGCCGTTTCCTATTGTTTGTTCCTGGTTCTAATCTCTGTGACTGAAACACCATGGACCTGGAAAGGGAAAAAAATTTTAAACCCAGTTTCCTGAATTGCATTTTTCTTTAGAGAAGCTTACTTTTGGGATTTTTTTTTTTCTAGTTTCCTCATCGAAGTTTTTCAGAAAAGGAGGTGGCATTACTTACAAAACAATAGGATGATGTCCACAATAAAAACAAATCTTCTCACAAACCTGCCCACTCTGATTTATTACCCAAGAAATCTAATAAGGAGCAGCACAGGAAAATGAGCTTTCTGAGACTTCCAATGTGACCCCGTTTTTCTTTTCTGAATCTTTTTTTTAGGTGTTTGTTTGTTTGTTTGTTTTTAGTTTTTGGATTTTTCCTTCACTCATTCTGCTCCATCTTCCCCCTTTAAACTGCATGCTCT